TTTAGAGCATTGTGTATGGTGCCAGTTCGGCACGTAATAAGATAGATTACCTGCTATATATCACTGCATGATTATATGGGGTCATTCATTAGGGATTCACTAAAATAAAGGAAAACGGGGATTTTCAGGTATCGCGGTCCTGACGGTGTTTTTCTAACTGATCTAGACGTTCTTTCAGGAGGTGTCGCCCTCTAGGTACCTCTGGTAAGTTCTAAGTTAAGATAATGATAGGGTATGGTGCCATGGTAGCGTTTCCAGGTTCAGGTGTTACATTTCTGTGCATTTTCGAAAATGGCCCTGGCGTGAGTGAATAAGTTGGACAACACAGAGAAAATAAGCAGCCGTAGAGGACTGAGTAATGCTACATGTATATGTACCTTGCAAGCTAATGAGGCCTTTCTACGAGCGTGAACGTATCTGGTGATATCAATGTCGTCAAGGTTAGCCACATCTGAAGAATTGTGAGACAGTTGCACTTGCAAAGTTAGGAGATAAATGTTCGCGTGGAGCTGAAGCCCTTTTATCTATATGTCTATTACTCGTCGATGTGTAAGGTCTCGAGTAGACACCCGCTAAAGGTCATGGTCAACCTCATGAACTCTAATCATTAATGTTGCAACTTCCTTCCCGACAGCCGTATTCATGAATAATTCAAAGTATTTTATTCCTGCAACTGTACCTCACAGTGAATGGCTACTAGTAACGACCAATCCTAGCTGTAAGTCAAGGTCACTTTTATTACATTGTGACAATAAGCAACTTTGTAGATGGCTGTTTAAGCGTTCTGAAAAGATATTGTGACCTAGGGCTTGATTGGTCTTTTGAGTCCATTTGAAGGGAGAACATCATGCGATTTAATGGAGGGACGACTGGTTTGCCCGTTGTCAGTATAATGTGACCGGATGGGTGTCTTCGGCGGTATGTTTCAGTGAGGTAGCACTATAAAGTCGGCATCAGTTCCGCGCTATCACAAGGAGACAAACACGAACATATCGCAGCCTCCCAAAACACACACGCATACACTACACGCATGCATCTTGCACACAGGGGAGGCCGTCCTTAAATGACCATAGCTGGTAGTAGGACGTTAAACAATACTAAACCACACCAAACGCGATTTAAGTTATAATTTCTGATTTATATTTACGTACATATTGTATGTACATGTACCAATATATATTTATATTTATGTCAAGAAATCGCTTATTTGACAAATCGTATTCAAGTAAAGCCAAAACAACTTAATGTTTAATACCCATAGAGGTGTCGCACAAGTATTAGAGATATCTTTAAATGAAATAGCGATATCTTCATTTTTTTCAAAGATATATATGTAGAAAAAGTAGAGATATACTTCGTTCAAATAAAGATATCTTTAAATGAAATGAACTATATGATTGAATTAAAATATATTTATATATATTATCTCATTTAATCAGGATCAAACAAGAAATATCTATTGATTATAAGATGTTAGATGTTAAGATACACAGTGAGCGAGTGGTTAAGGCATCTGTGACGACCGTCTACAACCACTAGCCCTCCACCACTAGGTCGCGAGTTCGAGGCCTATACGCGTACGGTAACGTTGGACAGTCGCCAGGAACTGACCGCAGGTCGTTGGTTTTTCTCCGATAAGCCGGTTTTCCTGCACCACCAAAACTTGGCACGTCCTTACATAATCATAGGTGTTAATAGAAAGTAATAAAAGAAACAAAAACCAAACCAAATCATTACAAAAACGACAGTTTATGCACGATGCAAGTGCATAATTACACTGTAACATTAGCACTTTCACGATACGTTTCGGAAGACACAGGGGTCTTAAGGATACGGACATTCTTGAATTAGTATTAGGTATGTAACTGATAGTGCCTTGCTTCTCAATATGTATATATGTTGTCTTTTTCACTTTAACATGGAAGAAAACGTTTTTATTTTCAAATTACCTTTTTTTTTATTGTAACAGCAAGCTACATTGAACCATTGTGGCGCGTGCAAATTTAAGTTGGCAAATATGCTTTAGTCGAACGGAATTGAAGAAAGTTGAAGTTGAAAGTCGTCAAGTGAAGCAGAAGCACAAGTTTTTTTTATTCAAGCAAGGAGTGAAATCGGGTTCGAGGTTATCCGAACATTTTCGCACTATTAACATGTCGCTATTGTAATTATATCCAAATGTCCCCTATTTTATATTGTGTCATGTTTCTCTCTTTTCCGGAGGTACATGTATGCACGAAAAATACAGAAACCTGTCGGTGTATTTAGAGTGCTTTTTACGTCACTGAAGTCGGGTGTTTCCGTCGTGCTTGTAGTTTTGAATTACGGAAACACTCGAGTGGTTTTCAGTTTTCGAGTATATCCTTTTGTCACCCTTTTTTTGTAACACGCTTTCTGATTGGATATCCTGCCGGGGTCTATATTTCTAAAGACCCCGCTCTGCCGGGGTCTATCAAAGCTCTTGCGAGGGGAGATAACTCAAACTAGAATCTTTCTTCATAACAACAAAGATGGCGTCCGGGTTAGGATGGGACTACTGGCCCATAGACCCCTTTGACCTTTATAGACCAGACGGGGTCTATGAGCCCGTAGACACCTTCTAACCCAGAGATAACTAATAATGTCCGGAGAAAGGGAAATTTCAAAGACGGTAACAGTGGATACCTACCAAGAAACTATTTCCCGCTTACTTGCTGCTATGAACACAGACATCTTATCTCCGAAAGCCAAAGTACAACACAACAGGAGGCGAATTTCTCAAATTATAGGTGAATAGAATGTTTAAGATGCAAGGAATCTCCACCGCTTGATACCAGCATCATTTCTCAATAGAAAGACCTGTTCTCTTGCAAATCATGTGTAGTCGGTGAAAATATGTTATAGGTTGGTATTTCATAAAAAAAAATCATTCATAACAAAAGAAAATTGATGAATAAGATTTTTCCGTACAATTCATGCCAAACGGTTCTGTCTATAAAAACATCTGGCAGTTCTTCTGCTTGATAGTTTTATGTTATGCCTGTCTAAAAGAAAACAATGCATGCTGATGTTTATCATATCGTACAAATATGAATAATGCCTTCTCAATATTCGTCTACAAATCCCATCCACACCCCATCCTACTACGATCTATCCTAACACAATCTCATAAAAGCTGGCACGGGTTCGGGAACCAAGATTCCGGCTTAAATATCTCGTGAACATTGCCCATACTTTTTTGTAAGCTGTCAGTTGAAAAAAAGTGCATTTCATATCGTATCTGAAGAGTCGGCAACTGATGATTATATAACTTCTGTTTTATTACACAGCTTGCAGATTTTAGATTTTGTTTTTTGTCAAACAGTTTCATTCAAAGTTTAATCATATATACACACACGTATACCACAGGATCTTTCCTAGATCGCTGTACGTGATAAGATTGTAGAAATACCAGTTCTATCTTAAAACCTAAAAAAATATCTACTCGTAAACATTCCTGTTCAGCCTTACTTATAGTAAAATATTTTTGCTTAATTATAAAACTATCTACAATTTTCAAATATTATACATTTCGTATTGTATACTGTGGACATTTTGGCCATGTATATGATATATTATATATTGTATAAAAAAATCATCATTACTTTCAGACGCGATTTTGTAGTATGAATGACGTTTAACAAATGTTGTGTGTAGTACACGTACATACATACGAAGATTATGCATTTATAAACACAGGATGTAAGAACACAGAAACACATTCAATCATTTTTATGCAATAAACAAACATACAAACATTACAAATCCATTCATCATGCTGAAAACGTACAGCGCCCAGCTGTATCAAGCTTCCTGCGTTAAAGTTACAAGCTAAGTACCATCAAACATTTTCTAAAAAAACACTTGCCTACACGAGAGTCTAATAGAGGATAAAACATAACAACAGAATAGTGGGCACCGACTAATAAGTCGAACACATGGTGAGTCGATTACTTGACATACCAGTAATCTTTGTCATGGGATTGCCGATTCTAAAGCAGACGGACAAATATGGCGAAATCATCGACTTACCAGAAGTTTATGAAAGTTCACTGACGGTTCTTAACAAAGAATGTCAAAATATTGTAATACAGGTTTTAGTCTGTTGGTATAACAGATAAATCTGTAAACTTAATATGCATAGTTCTGCTTGCAAATTAATTACATTCGGATTTATTTTTAAAAGATGATTATAATTATTATATTCAATTTGAGGAAGCTTGTTACAACTGGACACAGAAGTACATGTATTGCATTTCGATCTATTGTGAGAATACAGAATTGCTGCTGACATCTTTGCCATAGCTTGGTGTAAATTTTCTAACTTAAATATTTTGCGATCATGCATATTTTATTTACGATATTTACAATGTTACAAATATTAGACGATATGTATTAATCCATGTCAGGTTGCGCGCCACATCAAATCGGCTTATTCCGTCGAAGCATCGGCATTGTCCCGATGTTTGCCGGAATAACCCGACATGATGCGATCATCGTTGATGCATTCGACATAAACCGTACCGACATCACCGCTCAACAAGGAGTCTGTAGCATTGATGAAATACACATGGCACATGGAGGTTATTTGATGTGATGAAGGACAGATGAATTCAGTGTAAAGGGATGAACTGGTCATGCCAACATGTTAGTGATTCAATTAGGAGCGGCATTCCAAAATGCATTTTTCACCCATAGTCAATAAGTCTCTAATTTTAATTGAATCGGACGAACATCGTAGAAAGTTAAGGAACGTGTTGCTTGTTAAAGAAAAAATACATCATTTAACTTTAAAAGGATTTTAGTACCAATTCGTGGTTTGCCTCATAAAATAAATAGGATAATTTCACACGCAACATTTTTTGTCAATTTAAATTCCATTACCGTCAACGAAAGACCTTGGAGTTTTTGTGAGTATGGGAATAAAAACGCATGCACAACGCGCCAAAAACAAGAATGGTTGAACATCAGAAACAATATCATACTTGACTGCAGAGGGCGCGCGAGTGGTTGAGACCGTGGTCGGAATCGTTGGAGGAATTATCTTGTGATGACGTCATGGAATAATTTGCAGAATCTCTCCGAGAAATATCAGTTTTTCCGCTACTTAAAGTTTGAACAGGTTTAGGATAAAGATGGCCGGAGTTATCTTTTGGAACAATGTCTGGCTGCTTTTCCCCGCCTATCTCGTTATAGTCTTTGTCATTTAAAAGCTTAAGTTTCACTTCGTTGTTTGTATTGGCGTCCTTCAAATCCTTGAGGGTCAACCTAGAATCTTTAGGATGAACCTTGTCCGGAGATTTGTACCGACTCTGTTTGTCCAGTTTTTCGCGTTGTTCGGCTGTGTCAATATTTGACGGTTTATAATTAATCACCACAGGCGTCTGCCGGACTCCGTCAGAACAGCTGTGAGGCCGGGGCGGTTTGCTACTAGGACTTTGTATCTTTGTATCCGATTCCGAAACAGAGGCAGATGTTTCAAGGTTTTGTGACGCAGTAGGAACAATATGTGTTGTTTCTAAGAGCGGTTCCGTGAAATCCTCCCTCTGTTTAGAATGATGATGAAATCTTGGTAAACTAGAACTTTTATTGTAAATGGGTGACGCCGCTCTGGTATCAATGTCGGATAAACTTCGTCGGAAAGGAGATATCATCCCCTTCCGGCCTCCTGAATGCACGTCTGCCGTGACATTGACACGTGTGTCGCCTTCGTGTGGTGACTGACAGCGAAGGTTGTCGTTTGACCGCCGAACGGTCTCATGAAACGTCACGCGCTGGCCGCCACTACGCCTGTTCCGCGAGCGCCTCATTATCACACTACTGCTGTCATCATCACATCCATCCGGGTTTTCACTGACAGTTGGCAGAGAGAGTTCGAAACGCTCCTCTTCCTCTGAAGGAGCCGGTTCATACTCGTCGAATCCGCTCTCACTCACAGTGATGTCACAACTCGGAATCGAACTTGGTCTCTTTCCGCGTGACATTTGGATATCTTTGAGATCAATTGAACCAATGGAAATTGATGGCGTCCTTAACAGACTGTCACTCTTTATGACAAATATCGGCTCGCCTACATTGGCGTAGTCCAATATTCGGAAAAGCCACTGCTCCTTTATGGTAAGTAGAGTCCACAGGCAAATCCAGCATACCATATATGCAACGTCAATAACAACACATGTCAGAACGAGGTTGTCGCTCGTGAGTCTATATATAGAGACCAGATCATACAGAATTGGACCTTTGAATATTGCCAGTAGTACCAGAGTTCCGACTGCGCATGAGTGAGATACATATCCGTTACAGGGTCCTTTATAGTTCCGCTTGTGTCGAACATATTTTTCAGGATTGTGTTTCCGGTCAACGAGTCTGAACTTTTCGTGGAAATGATGTGAACCGTAATAAAATACGGTTATTGTCGAAAGAAGAATAGTAGTACCGCCAAATAGATAAAGAACCAACGTGCCTCCAGGACCCAAAACTAGGGAAAGGTTGTGACTATATGTGGGATAATTTATTGTCACTTTGTATAATATTGAAAATCCCGTATAGGCGAAAACTGATTCCACACTCATGAAAAGAAGCTGGCAAGCAAACGTTAATGACAAGGCCTTGTTCGTATACCAGAATACAGAGGCGTACCGAACGGTAAATGCGACAAGCGCCGATACGAAGAAGACGAATTCCGGTGACATGACTGAATCTCCAAGCGTATAGATGATTCCGACGTTAAAAGCGGATGCATTACTTTTTACGGTGTTGTTCATACGGGCATTAAAGTCACTCCATCCTCTGCGTTCATTTGGGAACAGGAAGTCGATGTTGGACGACCATATGATGCCTGCAAATATACAAAATTGATTTTTCTTAACGATTGCTTGATTCAATTAGTCATATTTATATATAGGTTATTAATGCATATTATTCATAAAACCGTTATCATGCTCAAACATAGATTATTTGCTCAGATCCAACTAACTGTTATTCATTAAAATCAAAAAGTCAAATGTAAACACTGAAAACAGTGTTCTGCTTCAAGTCTCTTTCAAATGAGTTAACACCATGGAAAAATATGATTTGAGATTAATTTACCAGCGGAAAAAGAAAATAAACTTGAGCACAAAATCCGAGTTTGAGCATGAGAACGGTTTCATGAATCCGGGCCCATGCATTTCTTGGCAAATACAAACAAAATGGTTTGAAACGTATTATACGCCATATACACTATCAAGATGGTACATGCATGTTTAATTAAAAATGTCGTAACATTCATTGAATGATACAGAGCATAGGGACTCACTTATTTTAAGACTAATTGTGGTTTAGTGACGCAATAAAGCGAAATATAATTGATAATGTGTTAAAAATACACGAAGTGCTGCAGGTTTTTGCTATGTTAGCTTACAAATATAAACGTTTATTTCTGTACTACATAATTATTTATAGTAAATTTGAATTCCAAAAACTTGTTGTGAATCAATTTTAAACCGATCTTGACAAATGTTTTTTACAACAACATAATTATCAAAATACTGTTGTTTATAACGATAGATCAATGCTTATTTTTGCCACGGACTTTGCAAATCGAATTTATAGTTGAACACACCTTTAAACTTTTGTGATAAACAATTATTAACTGCAATTAGTATATCGGCAACGAAAACACTTTTAATTGTGTTTCAAACATTGCCATAAGTTCCTCAAACAACAACATGAGAAAATAAATTTAAATAAATTTAAATAATGATTTTGTGCTCGGGAAAATTCGTCAACATCTATTAAGAGTTGGCCTCACAACAACTATTTAACCTTGCCATTTAACATGATCACCTATGAGAAATAAAACAACTTGAAATTTCAACTTTGTCATTCTGCAATATGCTGCCAATGCAATAAAAAATTGATACATTCGACATTTGGGATCTTTGTAATGCTTCGTTTAAAAAAATGCCGTTGTCATCTTCGTCTTTATTTTTTATCAAACCGTGTGAAACATATTTTAACGCGTTATAACAGAGCAAAGTACTTGGCAATCTATTTTGTACATTAAAATTGTGCAAAATCATTATTCATATTTGTCTTCAAATGTTTCGAAACTTAAATATCTCTCCAGACTATGCAACACTACTAAAAATTGTGTCACAAGACCTTGACGAAAATGTCATAATTTGACTAAACATACATTATGCTCACCCTTACGTGTTTTAAAAGAGTGCAGAATCATTTACGACAAATCACGATTTGAGGTGAGTTGATGACAGTAAAGCGAGCTTCAGGGAAACCAGCAGTTCTGTTATCAATCAATAAATTATACGATTCTGTTTCATTGACAAGCAATTCTACACATGTAGTACACTCATTTTAGTAGGTTTAGCTGCGTCTTCCTCATCATCACAGTTACAAAAGTATTGATATGGGAACCTCAGTACTATTAGTCAGAGTACAGCAGTTATCATTTTCTGTCAAAGTACAATATTTTATTATAAAACATGGCAAAAATCTTCCTGAAATAAATCGTTCAGGCCTGGATGTATTCTTGTTTCGTTTTAATCCGTAAACAGTTTCTTTTTAAAGCAACACGTTTTTGAAGTGTCGTTGTGACTAACCCTCTGTTTAACATAAGATATAATGTAGGTCATTGTGACAACCCTCTGTATAACATAAGATATAATGTAGGTCATTGTGACTAACCCTCTATGTAACATCAGATATAATGTAGGTCGTTGTGACTAACCCTCTATGTAACATCAGATATAATGTAGGTCGTTGTGACTAACCCTCTAAGTAACATCAGATACAATGTAGGTCGTTGTGACCTCTATGTAACATCAGATACACTGTAAGTCGTTGTGACTAACCCTCTATGTAACATCAGATACAATGTAGGTCATTGTGACTAACCCTCTATGTAACATCAGATATAATGTAGGTCATTGTGACTAACCATCTATGTAACATCAGATATAATGTAGGTCGTTGTGACTAACCCTCTATGTAACATCAGATATAATGTAGGTCATTGTGACAACCCTCTATATACCATCAGATATAGTGTAGGTCATTGACATTGTGACAAACCCTCTATGTAACATCAGATATAATGTAGGTCACAGTGACTAACCCTCTATATAACATTAGATAAAATGTAGGTCGTTGTGACAACCCTCTATATAACATCAGATATATTGTAGGTCGTTGTGACTAACCCTCTATATAACATCAGATATAATGTAGATCATTGTGACTAACCCTCTATATAACATCAGTTATAATGTAGGTCGTTGTGACTAAGCCTCTATAAAACATCTGATACAATGTAGGTCATTGTGACAACCCTCTATATAACATCAGATATAATGTAGATCATTGTGACTAACCCTCTATATAAAATCAGATATAATGTAGGTCATTGTGACAACCCTCTATATAACATCAGATATAGTGTAGGTCTTTGTGACTAACCCTCTATATAACATCAGATATATTGTAGGTCGTTGTGACTAACCCTCTATATAACATCAGATATAATGAAGGTCGTTGTGACTAACCCTCTATATAACATCAGATATAATGTAGGTCATTGTGACTAACCCTCTATATAACATCAGATATAATGTAGGTCGTTGTGACTAACCCTCTATATAACATCAGATATAATGTAGGTCATTGTGACTAACCCTCTATATAACATCAGATATAATGTAGGTCGTTGTGACTAACCCTCTATATAACATCAGATATAATGTAGGTCATTGTGACTAACCCTCTATATAACATCAGATATAATGTAGGTCGTTGTGACTAACCCTCTATATAACATCAGATATAGTGTAGGTCATTGTGACTAACCCTCTATATAACATCAGATATAATGTAGGTCGTTGTGACTAACCCTCTATATAACATCAGATATAGTGTAGGTCATTGTGACTAACCCTTTATATAACAACAGATATAATGTAGGTCGTTGTGACAACCCTCTATGTAACATCAGATATAGTGTAGGTCGTTGTGACTAACCCTCTATACAACATCAGATATAATGTAGGTCGTTGTGACAACCCTCTATGTAACATCAGATATAGTGTAGGTCGTTGTGACTAACCCTCTATATAACATCAGATATAATGTAGGTCGTTGTGACAAACCCTTTATAATGTAGGTCGTTGTGACAAACCCTCTATATAACATCAGATATAGTGTAGGTCATTGTGACTAACCCTCATCAGATATAATGTAGGTCGTTGTGAGTAACCCTTTATATAACATCAGATATAATGTAGGTCGTTGTGACTAACCCTTTATATAACAACAGATGTAATGTAGGTCATTTTGAAAACCCTCTATATAACATCAGATTTAATGCAGGTCATTGTGACAACCCTCTATATAACATCAGATATAATGTAAGTCATTGTGACAACCCTCTATATAACATCAGATGTAATGCAGGTCATTGTGACAACCATCTATATAACATCAGATATAATGTAAGTCATTGTGACAACCCTCTATATAACATCAGATTTAATGCAGGTCATTGTGACAACCCTCTATATAACATCAGATATATTGTAGGTCATTGTGACAAACCTCTATATAACATCAGATATAATGTAGGTCATTGTAACAACCCTTTATATAACATCAGATATATTGTAGGTCATTGTGACTAACCCTCTATATAACATCATATATAATGTAGGTCACTGTGACTAACCTCATATTCCCTCTTTGCTATATCAGTCGTAAAGCTGAGTCACGGTGGAATATCGAAGACAAAGGATATAGTATGCAATATTGTTCCTCTTACCTTTGGACAAATATTCTAGTCTTTGAACACTCAAACTATAAATATATCTCCCCCCCCCCCTTCCCCGTTGCCCCTTAAGTGAAAATGTGTATCGAATATGTCGATCCATAAATTGTCTCGAAATAAAACAATAACCAGGGTTGAATGGGGGAAATTCATTTGTGCTTTAAAAACATGCAACAGTCATGCGTGCAAAAAATAAATTGAAATGGTAAATCCATATGTGTGTTTTGAAAGTATGCAAAACTCAAGTGTGAGATAGATAGTTTCTTATCTTACGTTCATTTCGAAAGTGTTGAAACACAAGTGCGCAACAGCTTAACCTTGCAGGAATGATAAAGAAACCCGACATTACTTGTACTTGTAAAGATAAAGACTGCAGAGTGTTGAGTAATAAGATGGTTTACATATATGTAGTGCGATACACTTACTAGAATTCCCACGTGATAGGGAGGACATTAGGAGTATGGGAGTTATGTGGGAGGCGGCATGTTTATAAACCATTAATTAGAGTATGAAGGATCTATTTTAAACCGATAGTTAGAGAAAGATATACGCCGTGCTCTTATCAATCAAGGAGAGTGCAGAGGGGGACATCAATATAAAAAAGAAAATATTTGAATTGGGAAGCAAAAACACTCCATCGCCGAATAAACACAGTATGTAAAGTAACCCGGGGCAACCAGTGATGGGGATCAATGGCGGTCCCTAACTATAATCCATCGGAAAACACTGGCTAAACACAATTTCGGACCAGCTAATAGACACCTCCCGAACGCCCTGTTGGCCTTAATGAAACGATGTCCACGGACAATGAGAGAACGAGGAGCTTACTCGGTTAAACCCCGTGTCTAGACTCGCTCTTCTAATTCGATTTCTTCTTTAAAGTAATGTGCAAAAGCGAAACTAACTCGACAATTACGCCTGATCACCCGAGGTGTTTGGACATAGTCAAAGTAAAAAGTACGGAAGCCTAGATCGGCCTCTGTCAAAGTCACCTTTCTAGCTTCGAAATAAAATTGCCTTTA